TTACTGCCCTATCCCCTTTAGCATGACAATTACAATAAAATTTGTATAGAAATTGTTAGGCTGATTTTTCATAATATGAATGAAGTGAAATTAAAGTCTTATAGGATTGTAAGTATGCTTCATTTTATAACCTTGCAATTTCACCACTTAACTGTGTTTTTCTACAGCAGTTTGTTAAAATTTCTGACCAGTTGAACAGTTTGGTTTGATAAAATAAATGGCAATTTGGTCAGAATTTTGAATAAACTGCAATAGGTGGAGAGCAACACTTACAGTCTAGTCACAGTAATACAATACAGATTTGAATTAAACTGAATTATTAAAAGTAATAAACGAGGAGAGGTGGATAGGCCGATACCACTACAAGCGAACCAGATTCGTTTTGATCAATGATATAGATACTCTTAATCAAAGTACTGAAGTACTGAACATCGGATGACCACAAGTTCTTGAGGATGGTCAAAAGCACTTGTCTCAGAAAAAAACAACATATCTCTTTACCTAAAACTGAGGTTAATGTACAGAGATATATTTTTTTCTGAGACAAGTTCGTGCGTGGATGATGACTTCAACTTCACCGTAATAACTATTATATTGTAGTGATACAAATCAGTATACACTGAGTTGTTGTTTATATTATATTAAAATAACAGTTACATATATATATGATTTGAATCCATTTGTATATCATTCTATTCTACTATTCTAAAAATAGTGCAATGCAAGTACATGGTGGACACTTTTCTGTAAAAATTCGATTTTTCTAAGATTGGATACGAGTAGGCATTCATATTTTCCCGCAAAATCAATTACAGAGTTACCGGTCCTTGACGGTATTTTCACAAAACGTTCTTTGAGATATTCTTCCGCATGCTTTAACACAATTTTTCGGTACGTGTGCATTGATATTATCAATGATTTTTTACTTATATATATATATCTAACTACAAAACATTTTCATATTATTAATTTATGTTGTAAACAAAAATATTTTTATCAGTATTCATTGAAGAGATGTATTTATATCAAACGATAAGGAATGTTATTTTGCACTCGTTTATGTGCGCGTATTTATCATGTTTATAGATCGGTTACAAACCTAAAAATAATTTACATAATGGAAATCTAGGCGATAGCAATACATCGGGATGACCTCAAGGTCATCGCGATGTAAAAACGATAAACTTAACCTGACAATTCAATATTCAAAGTTATTTCTTATTAAATTCTAGCTACGTTTTGTTCAATTGAGGCGAGAGTAGTTTGCCGATGTTCAAATCTCGTAAATCGATAAGGAAGAAACAAAACAAGGTAAAAAAACATAAAAAGGTGGGAATTACATGAACTATAAAAAAACGAGACGGGTTGCGTCGACCGGGTAAGCGTCTCCTGCTATACATGCACCATCCGTCATGCAAGTTCACATTCAGTAAAAATTTTGCAATCCTGAATAGGACACTATCGGTAAAATAATAGACCAGACGAATATACTGGTATTTACAGATTTAAGACCGCGGAAACATCTCGCTAGTGAGTTGAGACATCGACACATCGTATCGATCAACCAATTCGTGATTGTTGGCCGTAAAACTTATATACTGTCGATTTCAGTCGTTCTTCCTCATCACTCTTTTGAAGCAGTTTTTGTGTAAGGGGCACACCTCTTTTAATGAAGTCCGTATAGTGTGAATATGCACGAGCGTAACGTATTAACTGAGTTATGTAAACGCCATACGATGGGACAGAGGGTATGTTACTGCCGAAAAATGGGAAGTTGACAATTGGAAAGTTGAATGCATCATGTTTGTCATAGATTCTAGTTTGAAGTCGTCCGTATGTGGCAATATTGTGGAAAAGTTCAAAATATGGAGCAGACCTTCTACTTACTCAAAATAGATACAATTTATCAATAAAAATTAGAGAGGAATCGCAGAAATATCTCACAAGAGGGATATATTAATATTATATATAGCAGGCATGGACTTTACATATATACTTTGTAAACAGTTGTTGTTCTACATGTGAAACCAAAAAAGTTAACAATAGGAAATTTTTTGTCATTTCATGTCGCAATATTTTGATATCAATGACAATGATTGGCAAGAAGAGTAAGAAAGAAATAAATCAACGTTTTTGAGTCGATTATTATCAAAGAATGCAAGAATCTTTGCATGGACAAAAGTTCAGTCGACAAAATCAGTGCAAAAAATCCAATAAAATAAAAATAAAAACAGTTGCAATGTCGGTCATCGTTTATGTCACAATAGTTACGCTGTATAAATAACACCAACGGATAGACCAGCAAACAGTAGAATGCAACATGTAAATTAAATAAGATCTTCTCAATCGTTTATCCTTTGGCTTTGATATAAGCCAGACCTATTGTTACACAATATCTTTTTGCATTTATTATACAGTTGTCTAGATATAAAGTGCAATTATTTATTCAATTAAGCACTAGAGTGCACCTTTAAATGACTTCACGTCTTATGATATTTATATAGAAAGACACGTAACTTGTATACAGAAACGAAACCGGAAGTACAGGAATAGAGGACACAAGTAAAAGTAAGCGAACAACATTATTATTGAATTTCAAATTTACGGGGTTATGTGTATACATATCATTTCGCTTTGTCCCCATTGTGGGATAAATTTTGAAAGTAAAAAAATAATGAACGTATAATGAGGAAATAGCATCACTAAATCAATCCTTAATAAACGTGATAGAGAAGATTGTCTGTTTAACAGATAAGTCCTTACAACTTATCACAAGCCAATATTATAGCTTTCAAATACCAGTGTCTCCAGTATTGTTACAGTATGTATGGAGATTAATATCTATTTTCGATGGATTGTTTTGTGTTTTTATAAAAAAAAAATCGTTATTTCGTCCCAGAACCTTTGCATTACATTATACCCGAAATATAAAGAGAGGAATAAGAAAACTCCTGCTATATTGGTCATTGTTGGACAGTTTATGGTTTCTTACGCCATTAAATCACTTTTTCACTATTATGCTTGACAAATGAACTGATCACAGTTTTGAAAGAAAAGCACGAAATTGATGTTCTCATCTCATATTTCATTGTCAAATTACATCACAAAGATATTTCACAAGTTTTCCATCATTTGATGACATGATGTTTTAATGTCCTGTTATAATCCCGTGCAATAAAACACAATATTCAGGATTGCACGTGCTCTCCATGACAACGTGATAATGCGTAGGAATATACAAAAACCCAAAACAAACGAAAAACGTAATTTATTTCGTAATTATAATCAATTAAACGTTAATGTATATAGTTATAAGGATAGAATGCATTTTTGTATTATTTCATGCTTGTAAAAGTGTTAACATGCATTCATAAAATGTGCTTCAGTCACCCTTTTTCAACCAAGTAAAAATATAAAAAGAGTCACTCAATTTTTAATCAGATCTCTATACTATTAAATGAGAAGACCTCATTTTGTGTGTCGCTTCTCTTCCTTCCACATTAAATGAATCATCATGCTTTTATGTCCTATAGGTACCATGCATAGTCGCATTTGTCATCCTCGCTTATAAATATTTCGTTTGGGTTTTTTTGGGAGAAAAACGAAAATAAAGACGTCCGGATATTGTTTCCGTCCTCGGACTGACTTTTAAGTCATAGATAAGACTTAAACTTACACATTATTTTCATAGGTACAAGGGGACAGGACAATTATTTTCGCGTTTTTCTGTATACTATGAACAAACATACATGTATACAATGTAAATACAGTGTATTTGCTATTTGCTATCAATTCCAAGTTTAATTCCATGGATTGATAATAAATACCAAATTATGAAATAAAGTGTATTTATATAGAAAATGTTATTATGATTATGTATGTTCATAGTGTACAGAAAAAAAAACGCTAATATAATTGAAATTAACAGAAAACACCAAAAAATAACGGACTTTGGAAAAAAGGGGGAGGGCTAAAAAATTGTACTGTCCCCAAGTACCTTTGACTTTTGATAACGTTCCTGAAATACTCCAGTCATAAAATCTTTTACAAAAATTCACCCTACAACAGTTTACATACCATCAACAACGCTCTAAATGCCCGCGATTTCGCGGGTATGTTCTAGTTAATTTGTAATCGTGCATGTTTACGTGAAGCAGGTTTCTCCGGTTTTTGTTATGTTTCGGATGATGCAATAACGTGCTTTGTCTTGCAATGGTAATACATCATTAAAATTATTTCGCATTTGTAACCATTGATAGAGGTCCGAACTTTATTCAAAAATAATGTTTTCAATAAATACTAAATTCTTACACCCAATACCTTAAAATAATTTAGTTCATAATTATAGTTAATTAAGACCTTATCAAAATGACATCCAATTCCGCTACATACAAATGTCATCAAGATCTCGTTATAATCTCACCACAATCTCCTGATCTCGCGGTAAGATACGAGTATCATATGACAGACTAGACCGTCAACAATGTACCTCTGGTAAGATGATACAGCCCCCCTTGAAACCAAATATCTCTAGGTTTTTATAAAAATCATACGCAAGGTTAATCACACAAATGTTATTTACTGCCGTTTTGCGTTTGAATATACATTAGCGAAAATCAAATACGGCTTAGTTTACATGCTGGCGGAAAATTCATTATGAAACGCACACAAAGATGAGCGCTATTGTTTTTCAATAATTTATATTATATGTTTATTCAGTTAATCAATTGACCGCATTTTATATGCTTTTTCAACTTTTTGCCTGATACTATTTCAAGATTTTAGATCTTCTTTCCTACTAATCAAAATTATATTTTTATTTTGTTACATTCTGTAAAATAAATTATACATATAAAATAAAAAGATTAAAATATATATTCGTGAATTATTTAAAACCACTTATTGAAACTGACAGTGAATATTTGTTACAATATTGTTACCACTGATAACGCATTGCAAAGCCAATTTACAAATTGACTTTTACCATTTGATATTCCCCAAGTTTTTACAAGCTTGAAATGCTTTATTGTCTGTGCACCGCCTGTAATACCAATTAGTGGGAAAAAACTCCATGAAGATTTCGATAGAAGGAATTCAGAAAACTCGCCTAATAGTTTTTCTTTATTAATGTCAAACGATATTGCAATCCGCGTTGAATTATTATTATTTTGAAAATCACAAGCAGAAATATTAAAATGGGATTATTCATGTTTTATTTCATAATTTCCTAATATCATAGAGAGTTACTGTACGACTAATAAAACGTTTAGAGACAATTATGATTGGATTTACTTTCTGACTTAATCGCGTGTATAAAAATTTATAATAACACTTGGATCATGAAGATGAAAGAAGAATGTAAAAAAAGTTCGGAGAATTGTTAGCGGGTTTCTTTTTGATATTGACATTTGTGGTTTGATCGTATTCAAGAAGTATAGGACGTTCTTTTGAGCACTTCTGGTATACATCAGAATCAATTAAACTGTATATCGACAGTAACTTAACTATTGGTGGAAGCAGTGGTGTAAAAAATACGATGGGAAAATTATTTGTACAATAGAATTGTGAAATCGGTAAATGAAGAGTGGGTGTCCCCCTCTTATATACGTCTAAATACAGTTTTCTCTACTCTATAATTTCCTGTGTTGACATATATAATTGTACATTGAAATTCGATCAATTGATTGAATTCTTAGATACGATAAAAATATTAATATAAGCAACAAATTGGACTTAGATCTTTAATCGCCTGTGTGATTTCAGTTCGATCTGGAGAAATTAAAGGATCACTATCCTATAACTTCAATTCCGATATTCCCATCGGTGTGTGTCGCAGGTTTTTGATAGCCAATTGTCAAAGTTTTAAGTTAATTCAATTTTTTCATTGTCTGCATCACGTTTTGGAATATGCTCTAGTGGAATTCCCATGTGGACTGCATCGTTTCAGATAACGCATAGGTAACGATCAAAAGCGTTATTGTACAATTCTTGTTGCCACGTGCTCGGAAATATAATGTTCTGGGAATCTGAATTACTTAATAAGTTGACTAATCGAATATAATCGGTCCTATTGGAGAAATCAACTTTAGTTAACAGCAAATAACTAGTAAACTTTACAGAGGAAATAAGTAACAACTTATATTTAATAATAATAATAATATTCAAAGTATCTTAATAAAACACGTGTTCAGAGGGGTATCGAATGACAAACAAAGATCAGTGTTTGTGGTAGAATGTGGCGTTTTGCAGTTTCAAAAAGTAGATTATATATTTGACTGTATGAGGATTTTTGAAGTAAGCATCGGGGAGTATGCTACCCCTAATTCATTATGATATCACCTGAGAGGATTATTTTATGTGTTTTCCTGATCTGGTTGACATTGAGGTGTGCTAATTGTCTTCCTAAAGAAATCACTGTGGGTAAGTAATCTTGAACTTTATCTAATATGTCTACTCTTGAACTCACACTTTACAAACTACTTTTTGTACTCTATTTTATTTGTGTTTCGTCATGTGATTCAAAAGAGAGTGACAATATATTGCAATTTGATATGGACCTAATCCATGTATTATATACTCTTGAACTCACTCTTTTCAAGAGATCAAACTTCTTTTTTGTACCCTTTTTTATTTGTTTTTCGTCGTGTAATTCCAAAGGGGGTGACACTATATATTGCATTTTGATATGGACCTAATCCATATATTGTATTTTGTGATAACATAAACAACTTGTTTCAACTGATCTCATCCTCTTCCTTGTCACATGGTGACTTTTTATAATGAAAGTTTAAAATATTTACAAATTTTTGTCCATACCTCACCTAAAGTTTGTTGACAATTATGCATCATTTGATAAATATTTCGACTTCACGTTATATTTTGTTTAAGAATTAAAAATTAAACAAGTGTTAACAATATTATTCGAATATTCAAAAGCATAGAATAATAATAATAACGAATTGAAATCGAAATGAGATGACCTGAAGGAAAGTTCAAACGAACAGTTAGTCAGTAGGTCAAACTGTTATTGATATGCATTATTACAACAGAAGTTTGTTTTAGACTACATGCACAAGACACACTATTTCTTTTCTTGACTCCTAAAAGCTGTACAAGATTCAGATCGCATATTTCTTCCTTTCTCATAAAACCAACATAAACAACACGGGGGATTAGATAATGTCGATTGAAATTAATGTTACGACAAGATATAAAGAAAGTTATCCTCTTTTATATGAATGCTATTAAGTTGGTAAAAAAATCTGTACATTTGGTGAAATATAATCCGTATAATTTTCTTTAGATTCATGATAACAAAAATCAACAAATAACTAACAGGGTGCATGTGGTCATCAAACGAATACATGTGGTCATCAAACGAATGCATGTGGTCTTCTGTAGAAAATTTTTCCCGAAATTATTCTTTCTGTAGAAGCAGATTGATTGTACTTTTGCTATACTATTATTGTCCACTGTCAATTTATGTTTAGTATCGTGTAAGAATACTATCATATTCAACGATAATTTTGTTACTTTCTGACGATTTTACGACAGAGTCAATCAATTCATTTAACATATAAGACACTGAGGATATCATGCAATGTTGGTATTGCAGAAACAGTTTCCTATTTGCTTCTATATAGATATAAGAAGATATGGTATGAGTGCCAATGAGACAACTCTCCATCCAAGTCAAAATGTGTAAAAGTAAACCATTATAGGTCAAAGTACATGTCTATTTGATTAGCCCTTCGAAATCCACCGTTGTTTTGACATTTTTGCAATGTTAATTTGACCTTTATTTGAAAATTGAAACTTTGGTGCGACCGAAAGAATGTTTTGGATTAACCTGCTCAACTAAAAAAAATCAAATTTAAGTATATATATATATATATATATATATACTTAAATTTGATTTTTTTTAGTTGAGCAGGTTAATCCAAAAAAAAATATATATATATATATATATATGAATACTTGAAAATGTGATGAGCTATATATAAAAGGGAAATAAAAGAAAAGCCACAAAATCTACTGAAACGTTTGAATGAGGAAAAAATTGTGATTGTTCAGATTTAGATTAACTATTAGTCTTTTTCTACACGTAATCAAACTATTGCATGCATACTTTTTTCAGTTATTCTCTGTTCGTTGTATCCAGTTGTTTTGATATAATTCAGTAAATAAAATAACATCAGACATTTCTACAGGTCTAAAATTGGTAACTATTCATGCGTATTACCAATACTGAACTTACTGTTGTGTATTACTGGCAAATTCAGCGCCACTTAATATTTCAAATTGCCACAGGATATCAAAATAAAGTTAAATATTTGGTTAACATTTGAAGTATGCACGTCATTTGCATGTTTCAAATGTTAAGATCCCCTGGGGTCAATCAAAAACGTACATGACCAGGATTTGTAGCCCAAACTGAAAGCAAAACTTACAGTTATATAGATTAATGAAACGATTTTTTGTGTGCTAAAACAGATCTTAAGTTTTAGCAAAACAATGCAAATATGTATATACATATATAGGTTACCTATAATTGCTTACCCACGTTATTTGAACTTTGGTGGAAAGTTGTCTCATTGGCAATCATCCTTATTTTTATATACTATGTCCAATGAAGAGTTTCCGAATACACAAACAAATATACGTTCATGGTGGCAATCCTGTTTATACGTACTCCAACTTCACAACAGAATATTCCAACTCATTAAATGTCAAGAGAATTTTCTTATAGCAACTTAACAAGTAGATCTATTCCAATCGGAAGTACAAAAAGTAGAGAAACATCTAGGCAATGTGAAAATTGAGATACACTGTATGTGGTGTCTCCTTAAGGTTACAAGGCTCATATTAACTCAAAAATATTAGATGGCTTGAAAAATTCTTCAAGAGCAAAGTATGTCGGGCGATAATATTATCTTTGTTCATTAATTGTGATCCATTCTTACGTACAAAAATTATAAGAAATTTATAAATGCAATCTATTTAATTATTCATTCAAACCATTGTTGCACAAGCATGTTGTGTCAGACTTCAGAAATCTCGCGTGGAACAATATTGTCTGCTGTTTCCGATAATGTGCGAACTATCCATCCATTCGACTGGAATCGATGCAATTCTTTACGCAAAATTGTACCAGTGTATGACAGCTTATCTAGCTCAAACAAAAGCCGGACATTCCTACCTTAACATTGTCGTCTATTGCTTTTTTGGCATATCTTAAAACAAATGTTTGGTATATTTTAAAATATTTCTGAACTCATTAAATGATCACAAAAACAGTAATATTGCATTCTTTAAAATAACCCCTTTTACAATTAAAAGAAATAATTTCATTTGGTTCACTGTATGAACGCTTGTAAGAGACTTCTTGTAATATCAATAGGCACTGGAATTGTCAGTTTACAATACTTTGTCCTTGCGTTGATCATTAGTTCCGTAGTGGGGTCATGGTGTTTTTTCTTTATCATTTTGAGTTTATTCCTCCTCAAGTTTTGTTGATTTCTGAGTAGCATGCTCGCCTTTAGTTAGGGCGGTCTGGCATTCGAATTTCGACCGGGTCAAACCAAGTACTTCGAAATTTGTATTTGCTGCTTCTCCTTTTGTGGTACCAGTGGATAAGGTATTCTGGTTCGATAACATGTCTTCCTGTGGACTGTCACCAATTGTAAACTAGCATGTTGAAAATCAGGCCCAGAGTATCAACCTAGTACAAAGCAGGATTCATATTCTGATCATAGTGATATGTTCTCGTCCTGATATGCATGTTATAATTGCCCTCGAAATTTAAACACCAATCCATCCCATCCCATTCTCTTTTCTTCATTAAAGCGGGAAAATAAGATACGTGAGCTTTTCATAATCTTGACATTTCAACGATGAAAAAATTATTTGTAAGAAAATCATACTTGATAATGCAAGATGCATAGTTTTTGTGCACTTTAAAATGTTTATAAAGAAAAAAATTATCTTTCTACTTAAATCGTGCATTTTACATTCTTAACGACCATTTATACTGTCAAAATTTGAAATCTACGAACTGTTTAATATTGTATCTGGAGATAACATAACTGCAGCATGTTACAGCATTAAATCAATAGTTTGTTTCTTTAACAACAAGCCAAGGTTTACACTCATTATCTTCTAATGTTCCAATTTTTCTTTGATATCCAAATTTATCAATTTTTCCTTTTATCATTTACGTAAATCTCTTTTAAGTATAGTTTGAAGTAGCTTTGAATAGAATATAAATCTTTAATATTTAATTTGTATTAGAGTGGTAATCGGGAAGTTTTACGATAATTTGAGCACTCTTATACTGACAAATTGAATGTATGTTGTTGACATTTATGTTTATATAAATGTTATTCAAACAAGTTTATGATTTAAAAGATTATAAAACAAGTTCCGTTAGAATAACAGTTGTCAAATAAAATGATATTTAAACATTTATGAAGTATTTTACGAGTAAACAATAAAGACTGCAATTATTTGTTCGGTTTGACTATACATAAATCACAACATCGAATTAATGTAGAAAATATTTCAATAGGTACAAATACAAATGTGAAAAGGAAAATGCGCAATTTTTCAATCGTCAGATAAGAAATGTGCGACTTTCGTTTTCTGATTACAACCTTTTGTATTTTCCAATTACAAAAATATCTCATTTAATTCATTTGCCAAAAGACCATTCTAAAACTGTTCAAACTTTTTCAATGTGGTAGATTCAATACTGATTACTAAGTTTTGTTGGCGGGAAATTGTTATCTGTTTACAATATTGTTGTTACAAATCAAATGTTGTCTTATCACTTGGTATTAAACGCTTAATTCAGTACAGAGAAAAAAGAGGAGGATTAGGCCTACTATTATCTTTTTGGAATGTCAATTTTCCTACATTCTTTGCTAGTAAACAATTGAAATCTCACAAACTAGGACTATATTAAGTCAAACTCCATTATATCGTCCATACTAGTTCGTTTTTGCCGCCATTCTGAGATCTCATGTTTTAAAACTTATCCTGATCTGTTGAGTTTTTTTTTCACCAGAGACCATTTATCTGTAACAATTTTCTTGCAACTGTTCTGTTCAAATCAAATACCATCAAAAGCTTTTCAACTACTTTTAATGTGTTGAAATAACAATTGCTCAGGTTAAACAACTTGATTCGCTAACCTTTACCTTTGAATTCAACAACTTTGGCTTCAACATTTTGTATTTCGAAAATAGATCTTGGTGAAAATAATTTGTAACAGTGGACCATTTGCTAGATTGATTGATTGATTGTTGGTGTTTAACGCCACTTTCGGCACTCTTGGCTATATATCGGCGGCTAGTTTTTATTTGTGGAGGAAGCGGGAGTGTCTTAATTGAGAGAACCACATACCTTCGGTAGAAGAACTA